GTGCACAGGCTGGTGGGGGAGGGCGGGGGGGACAGGGGGGGTTCACACTCGGGCCAGGTTGTTAAGATACACATGTTAAGGACTTCAGCCAAGATTCACGATTCCACTTTAGAATCCTGATGTTTCAGTTAAACAGGATAAATTAAAATAAACCTCTGTTTTACACAGTCTACCCCGGTGCATGAAAATGGTACTGCAGGGATTTCCATGCGCAGTTTGAAAATTGTCGATAGCATGACAGCTCAAGAACACAGCACGCACTCGGTGCGTCTTCTTCTAAGACGGTCGGAAAATCTTCAGATTTTTTGTTCCTTTTCAAAAGTTTTAATGGTTTTCTTCAAAAGGCAAAACATCTGTGTCTTTTTTCAAGGTTTCTGCCTCTGCTTCAGATTCTCTTATTAAAAATGTTGTTATCTTAAATTGTGCAGAGGGCTTAGATATTGACAAAAACATCTTGAAAGAGCAGTGAGATATGAAAAAAAAACATCTTACTAATATTTAAACAAACTAATATTTCCTTTCTTTTCTAACAATTTCCCGTTAAACATCCACCACTGTCAGGAATGGCCTCGAAGAAAATTAAATTAAATTAAATATTTGAAAGAAAAAAAAAATCACTGTCTTCATCACCTGCTGATTCCTAACCTGAATAAATGACACAGCAGTCTTTGAGAGATGACTGCTTTCCTGGGAACGACATTTTCAACAATAGGTCAATTAGTCTGAGATGAATGTATGAGAACTTTAAAATCGTTAATTAAGTGTCGTTCAGTTATGAACAGGTTGGACTTTTTTCTGCTGCAGTTCTGTCACTGATGTTGTCATTGTGGACTTCATGCAGAGACTGACGGTAAAAGGATGTGGTGTTTTGTTTTACCTTAGTGTGTGTGTGTGTGTTTACTGGTACATTCAATATGTGTTAAGATCCATTTGGCACCACTGGTGGCGCTGTGATGTGCTTCAGTAATAGAGCGCTGTGTGAAGGCTGTAAAAAGACCAGCTGCAATCCAAGCCTAATGCATCTGTGATTCACAGTCAGGTCTGTACAGCCAACCTCTCAGGATACACAGATGCTTTTTGCTTTTTTTTTTTTTTACGTCTCAGGTTTGTGCATTAAAATAGCTTCTACACATAGGGGGAGTAGTTTTAATTCAAAGTGTCGAATCATGAACGTTCTCTCTGGGTTTCAAATGTTCTTAAGTGGAGCCATTTTTATTAAAAGGGAACAAACGAGGCCTGAAATCAGAGGAACACAGTCTGGAGGCTCCATCAGGACTTCGCCCCTCAGGTTGAGCTATTTTTAATATAGATCTGCTCCTTGAACAACTCTGACCTTCCCTGCAGAGATAGATGGTGATTGGCTACAAAAATAAATGTTTTCAAAAATAGGTTTGGACATGGCCAAGTTTGACTCTTCTTTTTTTTCTTAATTCCAACCAAAGACAATCTGAAGTGCAGGCCAAGGACATGCACGCTTCCAGGACTTTCACACGTTTACTGAACAAAAGTCTGGGGTTAAAGAAGCCATTGTTCATATATTTAAAACCGTCTAAAACTGGGAGTGATTTTACATCAATTTTTAATGAACAGAAGAATGCTGTTGTTAAACTGATTTAATTACAGAAACATCTGTAATGTGTAGTTTTTATGATTTTTTTTTTGTCTTTAATTTCTGATTTGATTAGAAACGTCTAACATGTAGTTTTTATGATTTTTGTTTTCTCTTTAATTTTACTTTGCTTTGATAGGTACTTTAAAAACTTTAAAACGTTTTTAGCTGTGGTTCCCATGACTTTAAAACAATGAATAAAATAAAATAAAATACAGAACTATCTTTTTAAAACGTTTCTAGATAAAACCAGATACTGAGTCAGATCTAAATAGAACCAATTGATTGGACGTGTTGATCTGTAATTATTGTGTTGTATTATATTGCATTTTTAGGAAGTAAACAAACTTCTAGTAATTGGATTTCTATAATAGTTTCACTTTTCTAGTCTGTCAAGTTTATATTTTCTCGTTTCTACTCTTTCAAACCACCCCCCCCCCCCTCCACTGCCCCCCAACTCAGCTGCAGACAAACCTCCAAACAGATAAAGATAATTTAGTGTTGCCTGGTGGCTCTGGGCCAATAGGAACACAGCCGTCTCCCCACTCAGCACTTCTCCTCATTACCTCTTGGCTCAGTGCACAACTTTGAATGTAAACAACATCCAGGGGAGACTGGCTGAGCAGATGAAGTCCTGTGTCTGGACCAGTTTGGCCGGTGTTCATATCTGAGATGATGAATCGATGATACCTGGTTTTATTTTCCTCTTTATTATTTGTATCAACTCGGAATTTAACCTTCACCGTCAGCTGGAGCGGTCACTTGGTGTTTCTATCGGTCAGTTCTGGGTCTTCACGGTCACACCTGTCAGGACTGTGGGAGGTTTTTTGTTGTTGTTTCACGGTCACACCTGTCAGGACTGTGGAAGGTTTTTTTTCTGTTCATTATTCTTGGCCAGTGTTTGTTTATACAGACATGAAAACAAGTCTGTGACAGTGAGGTAGGAGTCACTGGACCTCACTTCCTTGTTAGGTCTAATTGGCCACGGCTGTGAATGAGGACACACTGTTAACACTTTCTGATGAGGTTCAAATCCCTAATTGGTTTTGAAAATGTGGGGCTAAAACTCCTGCACATTTAAACTAAAAGAAGCAGATTATTACAGTCCCGTCCTCATTATGGTCCTGGTTGAATCTTCACTTTTATCTGGTTAAAAAAGAAAAATGAAAAATCACTTCTACCTTTTCCCTCCTCCAGTGGAAGTCTGGATAGAGACGTTGGCACAGATTTCCTGACAGATGCTTTTCCTGACACATATTTTCTGGCCTTGAGGGTCACACTAGAAAGCTGTGGAATGATGGGTAACTTGGGAAACAGTGTAGTGTCTAGCCTGGGGACACAGAGACACGCAGCTGGATTTAAATCAGGCCTCCCGGGCCCAGGTCTGACGATGAACTCCGTACCGATTGAGCTCTCTCCAGAGTTATTTTCTTTCTCTCTTATTTGCTCCCACAATATTCCTTTTACCTTCCTCCATTCTGGAGGCTGATTTTGCGGCATGTGTTCCGTTTCTGTCTCTCTTCAGGGCCTTGTTCCTGGGTCTCTCCAATAACCCTCACATCACTGATCTACACCTTGACATCAGCAGCTGTGAGGTACAGTGAGCTCTGGCAGCAGGCTGCTACTTTTTTAGGTTCATTCATCTTCCTCACAGATTATTGACGCTGACATTCGTATCGTGTTCTGCGTTTTTTCTTTCACGTACAGTTGAGGTCAGCAGGAGCCGGCGTGATTCAGGAGCTGTTTCCTCGAGTTTCCTGCGTGGGCACTCTGGATATCTCTGATAATGGTGAGCAATGGCTTTTTTTTTAACTGCGGTGGGCACTGGATACCCCTGTAATTATGATTTTTTTTTCTAAATATAATATTCTTAGATGAATAATTATTGGATTGAAAGACTTTTTAAAAAAGGCCAGATGAATAATTATTGGATTGAAAGACTTTAAAAAAGTAGTAAAAAAGGCCATTATTGTTTCAATATTTTAAAAATATTGTAATGCTAATGTAGAAAAATATCAAGAATATTGTCTATTTTTTTTTACTATTGTTTCAATATTTTAAAAATATTGTATGTTATGTCAAAGGCAGCAATGCTAATGCTAATGTAGAAGTTATTTTTTTACCTTATTTTTGACTGGTCTCATGATCAACTCAACTGAGAATTTCCATCGCTTTTACTGTGTATTTCTCCTCTGTTGAATGAGTCATTTTCAGTTGTTCTTTCCTAAATATCAAACCATAAAAGCAGCATAATTGTTCATGAGTTTCTAAAAATGTGAGTCAGTGGGAGTCGGGGGAGGTTAATTGGGAGTATTTTGGAATCGTCGTGGGCAAGTGAGACTTTTTTTCCACAAGAAGCCGTGAGACGGAAAAAAAATGAACTTTTAAAAACCAGAAATGTGTGAAGCTGGGAAATGAAAGGATGACATTTTCAAAAGTTACTTCTTCACGTTAACGTGTTACTTAATGCCGTCTATTACGGCGATGTCTTTTACAAACCGTACGGCCTTTTCTCTCATTTGTCCTCGACGGAGGCAATTAAACGTGTTCTTGGAGGCTGAGCTTTTAGGGAGAGTAGATCTGTTGGTGCTGCACTTACTGTAAACACGTGGTGTGTGTGTGTGTGTGTGTGTGTGTACAGGTTTGGATGCCGACCTGCTGACCGTCATCCCAGCACTCACCAGACACCCGTCTCTCAAACACCTGATGGTGGGAAAGAACTTCAACATCAAGGGCAGGTCTGGACCAGGACCAGGACTAGAATCAGTCCAGCAGCACGGACGGGTTCAGACTCTGCCGCTGACGTTCTTCTCTCTGTCTCCGCAGGATTCTGGATGAAGTTCTGCAGAAAGTGGTTCATTTGGTGCAGGAGGAAGAGTGTGTGAGTTGGATTATGTAACACTGTTACACACACACGCACGCACACACACGGATTCTCCTGTGGCGTTGAGCACAGTCGAACGCCTACACATCCTCCACACACTCATCACCGTTGAATTTCTTCTCCTCGTCCTCCGTGTGCACTGCAGCCCAATTTACCACGTTCCACACTGTCAAGGTGGAAACCGAAACTGGGTCTGACTCTGATTGGGCCCCGAGCTGCCGCTGGTCTACGTCAGCTCTGGATGTGACCCAGGTCTTGGCTGACTACACTGGAGCTGTTTAAAGAATTTTGGTCAATGAAATTTGGACAGTTTTTTGGAAAGGTTTCAAATGATTTTTTAGCTGTTCCGATTATTTTTTTTATCGCTTCACTTCCTGTCCATCTTTGCCGTGATTGGCTGATTACACAGTACAATTAACAAGAGGTTAAACATGTGTTGGTTATTGAGTGGCCTGTAAAATCTTAAGTTAATAAAATTAGGCTTGTCCAATATTAACTTTTTGCCGATATCGTCCCAACATTCAATATGACATCCATTGATTCATCTTCTCTTCCTCCGGATCCTTCAGGCCCTGCAGTCGCTCTCATTGGCTGACTCCAGGCTACGGCAGCGAGGCACCGTCCTGGTCAACGCCCTGGGCTCGAACGCCTGCCTGAGGAAGGTGGACCTGAGTGGAAATCTCCTGGAAGACTCCGGAGCCAAGATGCTGAGCAAAGCCCTGCAGATCAACACGACGCTCAGGTTGGTGGAAAAATTTGAAGATGGAAGAGAGAGAGAGAAGATGGAGCTACAATCGAGAGTTTTAGTTCCTCAGAGGAGGAAGAGGAGACCATAAGGCGACTGTGATGCGTGACGGTGGGTTGGGGGGGGGGATTTCATGAAAAGAAGGCACCAAAGGTAAGGCAGAGTGAAGAGAGCGAGGATGGAGAGAAGCGTAGGAGGAAGGATACAAAGACGTGGCCTTCAGGCGTGTGTTTGAATGTACAGTAACTGGAAAAAGCAGAAGAAGAACCACAGTGAAGATGAACGGATGAACGGATGAAAGGATGAACGGATTCCTCAGGGACGGAAGAAGAACCACAGTGAAGATGAACGGATGAACGGATAAAAGGATGAACGGATGAACGGATTCCTCAGGGACAAGAACGGACCTTAAAGCTTCTTTATACCAAAACAAATAGAGCGGCACAAAAATAGAGTTTGAAAAGGACGACAAAGAAGGAAAGTGAAATGAAGTGGATGAATCAATTCTAAAAAAGTAGTGCTCTTTTATTGAACACTATACGGCTGTGGGTTTTTTTTTTATTTTGCTCTACAAACTGCAACCAAAAAGATTTACAGGGAGATGACCTTTCATCACCTTAACATACTACAAGTACTACGTAGTTAATCTGCAGAATATTCTGGACCATATTTGTGTTTTGTTTTTTTGTTTTATAGCAAATTAATTCATATTTCTTCTTCTATCTCTCCCTCTCACCCCCGTCTCTCTCCCTCCCTCTTGTCCCTGTGTCTCTCTACCTCAGAAGCGTGACGTGGGACCGCAACAACACGACGGTGACAGGATTCCAAGATGTGGCGAGAGCCTTGGAGCAGTAAGACAAACTCAAACAACCCCGTCCCTAATCCCCCAAAACCCCTCACCCCCCCCCC